CCCCGTCTCGGCCTGAAGAATGCATGAAGAAACCCGATAGGCTCGACAAGGTCAGAGATTTTACCCTCTGATAGACAAAACATTTGATTTAGGTCAGGTCTGAGCCCTGAGGGCTAATTGCACAATTCGAACATTAAAAGAGCAATCAGATGCACTTTTCCGCTGCACTGAAGATACATTCGTTCCCGAATTATGCGCCAATTTGTCAAAACATTCAAATAAGCAAAAGTTGACCTTTGATGACCTCTGTTGTCCTGACCTTTTCGTCTGACCTAAAAATGACTGAGTACTTTCGGGATGATTTTGGACGCACTTTATAATGCCGCTTACTGTGTGTCGCTACGTGGCCCAGGAGCCGAATTAGATAGGGGAGTGTTCAAACGTTTCCATGACAATATTTAAAAGCAAAATATCGAATCGCAAAATATCGAGTCACACGATATCAAAGTGGCATATTACCGGACGAGAAATATTGAAAGACAAAATATCGAAAAGGCAAAATATCGCAAATAGAATACGACGGCAAAGACTATTCGAATAGAAAAAAATCATTCCAATAGTTTTCAAATGAGAAATTCCTCAGCGAAACAACTGCAAGTTGAGAACATAAGCGCTCCATAATATATTACGCTATTGAAACCTGATTAGTCCAAAGACGTAATGAACTAGGTACAATGATATTGTTGCTATCAGACATACCTACCTATCTGAATCATTATTGCTGTACTACCTACCACGCTACATGCATGAAATAAAAGTTTAAACATTGAGCACAGGATGGCGGCTGTCAGAATCTGCACTGTATCAATTGCATTGTACACATTCACTGCTTTTTACGAAGCAGTTATATCGGACTACAATGGGACCTGTCTGGACACAAATTCCTGGAAACAAAATCCTTCACATGCTCGAGCTACCCAAAACGCAGCCTGGCTTACAGTGTTTTAATGTCGTATTTAACAATGCGAATACTAGACAATAAGCCGCACCTCTCTGGAATTTTAATTCGACCATACAAAATAATTTAAAACAAATTACGCTTCCGGCTCGCGCAGGCACGGCGCACACAGGCGGCTGACATTGGGCCGCTGGCTACACATATAATTGGTGTCTCGAGGAGTTCCACCCAGTAACAGCACCTCTATTCTCCGGCCCCAAGTAATACGGACGCCACCAGGGCGGCTGCGGCCAGTGCGCCACCTGAGGGCACCAGGGACACAGGTGACAAGCTAGGTAAGGTATTCAACATACTTCCATTCTGCCCTGTTGTCTCTGTCGCTGTCTCGGGATGTCGTATATAAAGGCGAATGACGGAGGGGCGTTTCTGAGATTTTGCTATCTCTGAAACTACCCGTCCGATATTTAACCCGCGCCCTGGTGTGGGTCTGAGCCACCTTCGCCCTGGTGGGGGGGGGGGGCCAAAATGACCCCCCCCGTCTAACTCGAAAACGAAGAGGGCTAGGAAGACGCGGAAAAAAGCAAACGAAAGCCCATAACAAGTACGTTCGAAAGTATTTCGGTCATTTTTTCGCTAAGGTCAATATTGAGGTCGCTAGAGGTCATCATAGGTCAAATTTCAGTGTTTTCGGTGTTGCCGGACATATTCCGCTGTAGCTCGGAAACTAGAAGAGCTAGAGAGCCGCGGAAAAAAGCAATCGATAGCTCTTTTCAAGCTCTTTCGCCAAGGTTCGTCAGATTTGACCTCAGCTCAACGGTTTGGCCTACAGAGGTCATGCAAGGTCAACTTGGCAAATTTCGTTGAAAATGTTTTTAACTATAGCATGCATTCACGAGAAAATAGAGAAACGATTCATGCACCATCGTGCTTGGCTCGTCGAGACGCGTCGAATGATATATAGTTTGACCTCGAAAGGTCATTTTGAAAATTTGACCTCAGGTCAAGGTCATGACCTTACCGAAATAGGTCATGCTGCATATCATTCGATCCGCATTGACGAGACAAACACGATAAACGTCGAACGGAGTCTCTATCTCTATTCAATAACAAGTAAGTGCAGAAAAACCGCTGGTGACCTCTGGTGACCAGGGAGATGACCTAGCGTGACCTCAGCGAGGTCACAAGCAAATGGTTTCACATGGGCTGTGATTTGCTGACCCAAGACACTTCAATAACGAAATATAGGAACAATCACGCCCGATTTAGCTGAAAAACAACTACTTTTCGATTCTCCCATTGACTTATAATGGGGAGCAGCGATGACCTGACCTGACCTTAGGTCACATTTATAAAAAATCCGAGATAGCCATTTTGTAGAGCTGGGTGACATCTTCAAGTACTGTAAATTTTACATCGATCGGATAAAAGCTGTGCCTTTGAGAGAGCTTTGAACTTTTTTAGAGGTGGTGTCAGTTTTGGTGACCTTGTGACCTGACCTGACCTGACCCGAACCCCCAAAAAAAGGACATGATGTAAAAATGTTGAATAAACAGCTATACAAAGTTTCAGGGCGCTAACTCAAGTGGTTTCTGAGTTATCGCTGAAAAACCACAGGGGGGGGGCCAAAATGGCCCCCCCCCCCACCAGGGCGAAGGTTAAAATTCAAACGGTATTTGAAAGCCCTGGAAAATTTGTCGATAAAAAGCTGGCGTAGTCCAACTTCTACCAAATGTATTACAGTTCAACACAAAATTAGCATTGTTTTCATCAAAACGAGCTGGCCTTTTTGGCTCTAACTACCAGACGTTTAATTGTAAAATTAAAATAACCCAATTGCCGTTCATCCACATATAAATGAATGATAGAAATCTTAGCTCGCGCCCTAGTGGGGGGGGGGGGCTATTTTTTGCCCCCCCCCCCTCACGAATTTTCAACATATCTCCAGAACCGCTGCGCCGATCGTCACCAAACTGTTTAGGGCAACTGACGATGCCCTCCCGGGCATCAATTTTACACATTGTGACCAAACATTTTTCCAAGGGCTATGATAGGTTGGCCGCAAATGACGTCAGAGTGACGTCATGTTCTGCCGTTTTCGACCCAAAAAAAGGTTTCACGGGAAGAGCTGTCAGGCCTATAGGTATCTTTGAAGATACAGAAAACCGTCTAAGACATAAAAGGTGTAGAATTAGCAGGGCTACTAAACTGCAGTCTCGAAATTTTGATTTTTTTATTTTGGCCCCCATTTTTTTGAAAATATTAGTAAAAAAATCCAAAAAGTTTTTTTTTCGATTGTCGAAAAAACGGAATATTTGCGATAGCCCCCACCGACTTCTATTCACATGCCAAATTTTAGATTGATGCATCTTTTTTGGGCCAAGTTATAGTGAAAAAAAAACTTCAAAATTGATGACGTCAAAATTTCAAGCTCGATTGTTAGCAATTCTAGACCACGTGGCGCAAAACAAAGACCACCATTAGACTCGCCATGACGAGCTGCATCGAATCAATACCCATTTTATGCAAAATATCAACTTTGAAATTTGACCTTTTTTGACCTAACATTGACCTGACCTCCACCAGTAAGTGACCTAAACCGTCCGTAATGGTCTTATAACCAACACCATTGAGTTGGAAATGAAAAATTAGCCATAAAGCATGCATCGCACAGCCCTAGTAAAATTGGGTTCATCTGCTGACCCTTGGTGACCTGACCTGTGACCTGACCTGATATCATCAGTGACCTCTAATAGCAACATATGTACTAGACAACTGACGCCCTATCGCTTATTTTAAATAAAATGCGTTTTACACGATGTTATAGCGCATTTCCTATGAGACCCGTGAACGGCAAAACATTTTATCTTTGACCTGACCTGTGACGTCATCGGTGACCCCGAGGTCAATGAAACTGGGTTTCCTTCGACAAATTTGACAGGGCTTCCGAACACCGTTTGAATTTTCCGGATACGTCAAGTAGTTTCGGAGATACGGGGGGGGGGCAAAACAAATGCCCCCCCCCCCCACCACCACCGCGCGGAAGGTGGCCGGGAGGCCCACCGCCTGCCGGGTTAATGTGTCCATGCTGTCAATAGTGATATTTATGCTAAACCCTTTTTAGGGGGGCGCTGGTTAAGTATCGAAGCTCAACAAGATAGACATGGTTGAGTCTGAGTTCAATTTCCGCTAATTAGGTAAAAAAGATTACGGAGCTTTGGAATCCTGCCTATATCAGTCAGATTCTATAGGGTACATATTTCAGATAAAAGAATTCCTCGTCAATTTGATCCATTTCTTATTTCATACCTAAAAGACCTGTGAAATGGTGTCAGTTGCCCTAAACAAAACCGCTCTCAGTTAGTCATATAGGTCAATTAACGGTCAAATAACAGAGTAGATTTTAATATATACTAGTCGATTGAATCTTCGCGGAACCCAGCGGACCCCTCGGTTTTCACGGCAAACTTGGTAATCCGTGTCATCAAGTGCTATAAAAATGTACTTTCATATTTGATATCAGGTGAACGGGTTGACCTAGAGAGGGCCAAAGCCGCAGAAATAGACGGATTTTGTCAGCTCAGATATCTGCAAAAACTTTGGTGTTAACAATTGTATGACATTTATCTTGCTTCTATTGTGTTTCTGACGTCGAGACGCGTCGAATAGATTATAATTTGACCTGAAAAGGCAAATTCTAAAAAGGTCTTACCCGACGTTTGGTGCCCTGGGATAAAAAAAAATCAACTCCACGCTCTTTTCCTTCAGAGGCCTGTTTCACTAACGTTTGAAAAAGGTGGATATCGTTTTTAATGATGCCTTTCCAATTGATTTTTTTTTTTAAATTAAAATGGGTGTTTTTTTAATTGAGCTCCAACTTTGTCAAATTGAAGGAAAAAAGGAGTAGCTGCAAAACTGATGGTAATACCTAGGGTAGGTAGGTATATCGATTTTAACTGCACCGTTCACCGCGTTTCTTACACACGCAAACAAAAACTGGTAAGTGTGGACGTGGCCACAAACTCTTTCTCCCCCCCCCCCCACACACACACAAACACACCGGGCGGAGGTTAGTGTTAATTTTACTAGTGTGTGGTTCTGTAGGATGTCCGGGACGGCGACTGCAGCTGGTCAGCTGTGTCGTCGGCTGGCCGCCACCACAGCCGCCGGCCTGCTGGCCTCCTCCTACGGTCTGGCCATCGGCTGGGCCACGGTGGCCAACTGGCAGCTGCAGCTGCCGCACGAGACGCTCCGGCTGGCGGCCACACAGCGCTCCTGGCTCATCTCGATGATGTACGTGGGTGTGGCGGTCGGCAGCCCGGTCGGCGGCTGGCTCGGCGGCCGGCTGGGATCCAAAGGAGCGCTCTTCGCCTCCGCCCCGGCCACGCCGGCCTCCGGCGTCGTCATATTCTTTGCAAGCTCGTACGAGATGCTGATGGCTGGTAAGAGCATTCAACTGCTGAGGTCAGGACTATTGTCATCATTGCTTTAACGGAAGGACAGGTGAACAGTGGCGTAGCTTTCTTCGCTCAGTTTATCAGGTTTGTCTCATCACGTCTGTTTTGAATGATATGAAGGAACATGTTTTAGGACACGTAATTGAGAGCATACAGGTTACAGAACCAATGATGCAATTGCAGTGATCAACAGTCCGTCTGAAGAGCTTGTGGTCATGGCTCAGCATTAAAATCATGTCTGTCTGATGTGCTTTGCTTGTTGGTGATCTTTATTGTCGTATTGTGCCTCTTCCGGCAGGTCGGCTGCTGATTGGGCTGGGTAGCGGGATGTCGAACGCCGTCTACATGATGTACATCAGCGGCACCAGCCGGCCGGCCGAGCGAGGTCTGTTCTCCATGCTTTCCGAGGTGGGCATCGTGGGCGGCACGGTGCTGGCCGTGGCCGCCGGCGAGCTCGTCGACTGGCGCTGGTTGGCCGTGCTCTGCGCCATGCTGGCCACCGCGCCGCCGGCCGCGCTGCTGATGCTGCTCCCCAGTGACCCGGTCTGGCTGCTGGCCCGCCACCGGGACGCGGAGGCTCAGCGCGCCGCCGACCTGCTGGGACTGCGGCTGAGCGAAATGGCCGCCGGCGCCGCGCCGCAGCACGACGCCCCGTGGCGAGAGATGCTCCATCAGCTGGGAAAACGGCGCAACGTGGCGCCGCTGGCGCTCGTGCTGGCGCTGTTCTTCTTCAGAGCCTTCTCCGGCTACTACACCATCCTGGCCTACTCGCTCGAGTTTTTCCGCGACGTAGGCCTGGCGCTGGACCCGTCGCTGACGGCGCTGCTGTTCGGAGGCGTGACGGTGGCGGCGACCGCGGTGACGTCGGTGCTGATCGACCGGCTGGGCCGGCGGCCGCTGCTGCTGGCCAGCGCCGCCAGCACCGCCCTCTGCTACCTGGGCCTGGTGCTGGTGTACCAGGTGCCGGCGCTGGCCGCGCTGCCCGCGCTGCCCGTCGTCCTCCTGCTGGCCGCCGGCTTTCTGTTCTACGTGGGCCTCGGCTGCGTGCCGCACTGTCTGGTGGGCGAGCTGTTTCCGGAGCCGGTCCGCTTTCTGGGCGGCTCGCTGGTGCCGGTCGCCTACTGCGTGTTCAGCATCGTGGCGCTGCTGCTCTTCCCACCGACCGTGGCGGCGCTGGGGCCGAGCGGCATGTTCCTCTGCCATGTCGCCTGCATGGTCGTCGCGTTCGTGCTGGTCATGGTGGCTCTCCCGGAAACTCGCGGTCTGCCTCTCACCGCCATCGACACTCTGTTCGATCCCTGCGCAAAGCCGCAGCAAGCCAAACTAAAGCACATAAAACAGGTGGAGAGTGGCCCACACTAACTTCCTGCGGTAAAAATTGGAATTTGACATGGTTCCGCTTCTCGATTTAGGTCATTTATTAGCCGTTTTTACGACGGCCATCTGGTACATATTTAGTGCAGATTAGGTGCAGATTTGGTGCAGATTTGGTCAATTTAGGTTCATTGTGTTCTTAAAAGTTGTCAGTTTGGGCTACCGAGATGCTCAATGCTCATAGACCTCCTTTTTCAAATTATTAGGTATTATTTTCGATAAAAAACACTGAAATAACTTCATGATATGAAGATATTGGCTGTGAAAGAGACTTGGTGCAAATTTGGCCGAATTAGGTGCATTCGCCATATAGCCCGTCGTGAAAAACGGCTATTATGACTCTTTGATGAATATTTCGTTCAAACGGATTTATACTTAATAGTTAAATACATGTCTAAGACCGCTTTGGTGCATGTGTGTTTATGCTCACATATTATGTGGATGGGAACATGGATTTTATCAATTTTCTTGTCAACATCGATAAAACTAGTTTGGGATCACAATAACTGTTGAGCGCTTGCGGAGTGCCACTGACGGTGACTGTGATCGTCAGTCCAATTCAAATCAGGGGTCAATCAATAGGTACAAAACCACACAGAACAAAACAGGGGCAGCTAAAAAGAATATTTCCTTGGAAGCTGGTACTAGGCAATGAAACAGAGGTGCTCCAATATCTTACCAGGGAATCGTTAAACGCGACGACGAATACAAGCATTTTAATTACCTAATTCTGATGTATATACATTTCCACGTACCCACGCCACCACAGAACAATAGGCTGAAGGCACCTCACAATGAAGAGGGACATGACAACTTACGTAACGTCTGATCCGGATGCATCGTTCAGCGAGTTGTCGGGGAGCCATGAAGCACTGACACGAACTGATAATAATTGACGGTCAACATGGTTAGTCTCGTACACAACAAACAGGCCTCCTAATACGGTCCACGTCTTTCAACGCCCAATCTGAACGGTTTGGTAAATAAAACATGAGATCCACGGCAAACGTAGCGGATTGTGAAAGACATTGAGACTTGAGTAGGCGGTGCCGCCTCCTAAGGGGATAAAGGGAGAAGTGGAACGAAGGAGAAGCGGGACATCCAATACCTATCTGGCTGACGGACCATATAAACCAGAGTTTTTTTTTTTTTTGCAAATTTTCGGACGGAATTAGTTGGCGCACATCACAACCGAACAATTGTTTACTCTGGTTGCTATAGTTAAACCGCGCCGGGCCAGAGGTGTTTGAACATCCCAGGCGTTTTTGTTTCAGATACCTATCTTAACCTTCGCCCCAGTGCAGTGGGGGGAGGCATATGTTACCACCCTGTCGCGTTTTTTGCGTGTGAATAAAAAACAGCGGCGTGTAGCGCCGCGCCGCTTAGAGTAGCTTTCTGTACATCAATTTTGGACAATGTGTGAAATTTTTCACCCCCAGGTCATGTCAGGTCAGGTCACCAGGTCAAGTTAACTGACCAAGCCTAAAAAAGTTTGCAATCATGTCCAGCCTGTAGTGTTTGTCAGAGAGGTTTTAAACTTGGTGGATTGCATGATGTTATAGGCGCCTATAATTTGTATATCTCGGATTTTCATATCCGTGACCTAAGGTCAGGTCAGTGGCGTGACCTTTCCATTATAAGTCAATGGAGAAAAACGAAAATGCCTCTAGATCCGTGTGTACGCATAGAAACAGTCCAAATATTTCAGAATCACAATGATTTGGACCACCCGTGACGACCAAGGTGTCTTTTTTGCTGATAGCCTCTATAGAAAGGTCATCCGAGGTCATTTGAGGCTACAAAAAGATTTTTGCCAATAACTCTCGATTGGAAGAGATAGAACGCTGGGGATGGCCTCATTGTGTTTGTCTTGCCGAGACGCATCGACTGATATGCAAAATGGCCTTTTCCGGTCAGGTCATGATCTTGACCTGAGGTCAAATTTTCAAGTTGACCTTTCAAGGTCAAATTATAGTTCATTTGACGCATCTCGGCGAGAGGAACACGTTTCTGGCAATAGAAATGTCGTGGCTTTTTTTAGTCAAAAGTTATTGTCGAAAAACACTTTTCGTAAAAACAGCTATTTTTGGAGTTTTTGCCCTCTGGAGGCTAAACCGTTGACCTGAGGTCATTTTTGATGATCATCTTATCAAAAGAAGCGCCCAAAAGATTGATTTTCCAAGCGTTTTTTTAGCTATCATAGTTCCTTATATAATGGCATGTTTTCTGAAAAATATAATGACATTTCGCAAATTTTGACCTTTGATGACCTCTGGTGACCCCAATATTGCTCTAAGATGAAAAATGACCGAAATACTTTCAAACGTACGCATCGAGAGCTATCGACTGCTTTTTACCGCGTCTGTCTAGCCCTCTTAGTTTCTGAGTTAGAGGTGGGTGGTAACATAGCCCCCCCCCCCACACACACACACACACTAGGGCGAAGTTGGCTGAGACCGCCGCGCGGGTTAAAAATGGCGACACAGAGCGCCGCCATTTTTGGAACACATATTTATGCATCCTTACTTCATATGCTATAAACAGGTTTACACCCAGGTCGCTTAGGGTCAGGTCACCAGGTCACTTGTCAAATGACCTTACCTCTGGAAAATTTAGAATAATAGTTATTTGGGCTTGGGTGGTTACTTAGTGCTGTAACTTTCATCTCACTTTGAAAGAACCTCTGACACTGGGGGCGTTGCAAACTGACATTTCAGACCGTTCAGAGGTTCACTTATGACCTCATAGATCAGTGACTTTACGTGACCTAAAAATGCGGTTAATGACACAAGATGTGGTTTAAATAAAGTGCAGACATGCCAATTTTCAGCTGTTTATATCAGCGCGTTCCGAGTAATCGCAGCAAAAACCGTCTAAGGAGCGACACCCTCTCTCCCTATAACCTCGGCCGGCGAGGTTAACCCGCGCCCTGTTGGGCTAATGGAGGACCCTGCTACCCGTTGGGGGGTCGCCCCCCCCCCCTAAGATCTCGGAAAGTTACCGACTGATTTTCAAAATTCAAAGGGCGCTCGGTATCATGGGAACTACCCTGTGACCATATTTTGTTGACTTAGGTGCAACTGATGACGTCACAGTTCAGGTCAAAGGTCCAGTTTTCACCGTTCACGGGCATTCTAAGGAATGCGTTATAACATCGACCAAAACGCACGCTATCGAAAATTATCGATAGAGATTTGATTGCCTAATGCATATGTTGCTTCAATAGTTCAATAATACCAGGTAAGGTCACAGAGGTCAGGTCACCGTAGGTCAAAATAGCCGTTTTCACGACGGCCATCTGTAGTACCATCGATTAAAACTCTGAAATAAACTCATAAAATGAAGATATTTGCTGTAAAAGAGATAAGGTGCAGATTTGGTCAAATATACCTAGGTGCACTCGCCGGATATCCCGTCGTGAAAACGGCTATTATAAACCAAACTATATTCGGGTCATGTGATGCATGCTTTGTGACCAATTTTACGGGTCAAATTCAATGGTGCGGGCTAGACCGTTTTAGGTAAGCCGTTTTAGGTTACGGTTTGTTGGAGGCCAGGTCAAGGTCAGGCCAAAAAGGCAAAATTTTAAAGTTGATATTTTACGACTTGTAACACATTTATATTCTGTTTCTTTTACAATTAAAAAAATGCTTTTTTACGGTCAAAGTATAAAATTGTCAAGAATTCCAGATGACAGTTTTGTATCCCTAATAACTCTGCACCTTTTCGGTTTCGGCACAATGTGCAACAGTGATGTCTGAAGGGGTTCTGAAAGTTTGGGTGATGATATCTGCTATATATGTAGATACTTTAGAGTTTAGGAGATGATATTGACTGAGAAAGAGAGTGGGACCGTTTCGCCTCCCTCTCCCCCCCACCGCCAACGGGGCGCGGGTGGCCTACATAGATGGTCAGACAGGCAGACCTAGATAAAAGCAGCATCCACGCCTTATCGTGAACTAGCATGCACTTACATAAGAAAACGTAAGCCATGTGAGTCACACATGGAGATTGAGAATCATCCGGTTCGCCGAACATGGTAAATTGTGCGACTGCGTGTTATGTGCGCTGTGGCCTGGCATGCACACCGTTATGCAACTGGATATACTCCTGCCAAGCTCAGCTGCAAGCATGACTCACCAAAGCTGCTATCGCTGCAGCCGGATTGACGGACGATGCACGTTACCTCGGCATCTCGCTCGGACCGTATCAAGGCTATGGAACTCCGTATCTTACCGTATTTCAGACGTCCGGCCGGTGACTCATCATCCTGAATCGAACGCTGTCATTGTGCAATTGAAAAAGTGTCCGGGTTGCAGACCCGTCTCAACTTCAGTCCACCAACCAAATAATACTGATCCATTCATACGTTGAGATTCAATGGAAAAATTGCCTATTACATAAATCCTATACATGTCAAAATAATTTCAAATTTGTACCTTTACCCACAGTGTTTCGTGTTTGAATCGAAACACTAAGTTAAATGCATACCTACAGCTAGGATACAGTTCACTTATTCGAAGTTAATTTCATTCGAATTTCATTTTAAGCTGTTGCCACTTTAATTAAGCCCGGCGTATATACATACATTAGCCCGCACCCCGCTGGGGCTCCTGCATGGATTTTGCAGGGGGGGGGGGGGTGAACACCCTTCTAATTCGACTTCTGGTAGCGTAGCGACACGTGGTAAGCGGTATTCGAAAGAACGTCCAAAACAAGGAAGACAACACTCAGTCATTTTTAGGTCAGGTAAAAGCCCAGGTTACCAGAGGTCATCAAACGTAAAACGAACATCGGCACATATCTCGAGAACCAATAGGGGAGAGCTATTATTAGCCGTTTTCACGACGGTCTATCCGGCGAGTGCACCTGATTTGACCAAATCTGCACCTTATCTCTTTTACAGCAAATATCTTCATTTTATGACTTCATTTCAGTGTTTTAATCGATGATGCTCTCTGATAATACGACAAAGCAGGCATATAACC